CATCGTTTATAAGATTTTGGTACAATATTGAAGTTTAAAGCCTGTTAAATAGCATTATATTCAATATATTTTAGATAAGCTTCTGAAATGACGACTGTCATGGAGAGACCTATTGTACCAGAGTTTTTTAGAATATATATTTTGTCATTCCGTAAAAAAACACAGATCATTTAATTGTTATACAAAGATCAATTAGTTTATAAATGTCTACTGAAAAAAAAATTTATTTTGTTGTATTAGATTATCTATCATTGTTTAGCATACCAATAGTTGTAACAGTTGTTTTATCAAGTGGCACTGATGGGTATATATTAATAACATCTAATGACACCTGAATTTTGTCATTAATAAACCATTCTTTTGCTGTTTATACAAATGAAGATGGAGTTTTAATACGGCATTCATTTTTATTTAAAGTTGGTTGTGTGATCTCAAAAAGATGTTGTGAAAGTTTATGAGGTGGTGTGCCGATTGTTGACTATTATTAGCATTGGAAAAACTTTTTCACTTTTATGTGCTTTAATACAACCATACAAACGGGACGGAATTGCAACTGAAGGATATATTTTACTATATGTTTTTTTAATCTAATTTTTTGTCTTTTTTAAATTTACTAAGGGTACGTTTAGTAAGGTTTAGTCTGAGTTAGGTCAACTGCAGATATTGCGCCATTGACAATTCGTTCTTTTACTTTTTGTATTGCTCTAAAATGGGAAACCCATTAGCTTTATCAAATGAATATAATTTTTCGTTGGTGGAGTTTTTGAGTTCATTGACAGCTAGACGTTGATTTTTAGAAACATTACTATCGATTTTCACTCCTAAATATTTGGTAAATGTTTTGCTGACATTCTATCCTAAAAATTCTGCTCTTTCTACATTCACATTTTTTCTATATTTAAAGAGCATTCCTCAGTTGATGTTATAATATCAATAAAAGGTATTTTATTTTGTGTTGAAATAAATTGCGGACCAAGTCATAATAAGTTTTCCTGTTCACGTGAGATTGATATATTTAATATTGGGTTTTTTACAAGGTTAGTGTAATTTACAAGGTAGGTGGTATTGAAAGAACATTCAATACCACCTACCAAATTAAATTTTTTTATACTGTTTTTTTTTTTAGAATTGCTAAGAAAATTGAATTTACAAATAAGGTGTTGTTTTGTTAGTTCAAATTTAATTTCTCTTGATTTATCAGTTATAGGCTGTACGCAAGTATCTTTAAATGTGGCTGGAAATTAAGTTTCGTTGCACATATTTGTTGTCTAACTTTTAATCTTTCTAAAGACTAAAATATAACTATTTTGTTGTTATAATAAAATTTGTATAGCTGTTACTTCATGATATGGCTAAATATTTGTTAAAAATATTAAAGATAAAAATACCAGGAATAGTCATGAGTTTTAAAAAGTTTCTTTAAAAAGATCATATTATCTCCAAGTCAATGTTTTTATTTGACATTTCTTTCTTATTTTTGAACTTTTGCAAAAATCTGAGCATCACAAACTTTCTTTATGACAAGATTAACAACATTGGTTTATTTTTCAAAGTTTTTTTTTGCCTTTACAACTTCAGTTATAAAGGTAAAACGAACGTCGAATGTATTCCTTTTATCATATACATGGCAAACAAATTTTTTATCTTATATATAATGACCAAAACATTGCTTTCGATTGATCTTTTATTATTTTCTGCAAATTTTATGCTCTGCAAAGGAAAATGATCACAAACAAAATCAACTTATGATGGTTTATAGTAGCGAACATATCAGATGTAAATATCTAGTGAAATTGTGACTATAGAAGTATAGAAAGTAAAGATTTCACTTTCTATATTTGCTTTTCTATTTTATACTTTTCTACAGAATAAATTGTATGAATCTTTATAGATGAGAAGAACAATGTTTTTCTTTTGAACACACCTTAAACACATTTTTTGTAGCAACGGGAATGATAACAAACTTTAATAGCAGAACAATCTTTAAAAAAATATCGCTCATTGCTACCTATTTTCAATAGAAAATTGGTTTTATATTAATTTCGTATTAAGCTGCAAGTCACAAATTTGCAGCATTGTAAGTAAATAATTGAGTTAATTTTTAAATTTTAGATAATTTTAGAAACCTTTATAAATAAAATATACTATTAAATTAAATATCTAATACATGTTTTAATCATTCAATAAAAGACTTCACAAAATTAGTATAAAAATTTACTCTTTTAACAAAATCATTTCTTTAGGTTAAATCACTTCAAAAATGTTAATAAGAGAAAAAAACAAACCATAACTGGTTTATAATATTTTAGTTATGCTTTCTTACAGATGATTCATATTCTTGGTAGTAAGCTATCAAACTTTGATGTATTTTTATTAAATTCGACATCTTTTACTTTTACTTTTTTTTTTTAATTAAAAATTTTATTAAAATCTACTAAATCTAAGTTATAAACATTTTTGATGTCTATCTTTTCTTTTTTAATGTTTATCTTTTCTTTTTTAATGTTTATCTTTTCTTTTTTAATGTTTATCTTTTCTTTTTCAAATAATTTTATTTGAAAATCTTTAATAATAAGAACGATGATACTAAAATATGGTCTGAATTAAGTCTGAAACAACTGCAAGTCGTTGTTTAATTTTGTACTGTATCTAGAAATTACTGTTGAAGTTCTACTTTATCCATCCAATCGGCGTGACGTCACTCCGTAATAAAAAGTACTGTTTTAAAATTAACCATCTTGAATTGGGGGGAAAAAAAACCTAAAAAATAAGTTGCAGTTTGTTAAGTTTTTTTAAAAAAAAAATCCTAAAAAGCTGTTGTGCAATAGATTGCACTGACAAAATTAAAAAAAAAAAATCAAAACATAAGTTTTTTAAAGATTAAGTACTTAAAAAAAAGTGGTTGAATACGATAAATCGTGCTGTAGAATGCAGCAAGCAATGGTTTCCTAAAATTTTGTAATGTTTATGTTTGTATGGCAAAGCTAATTACTGGTGGTTTACTTTTAATTTGCATTTAATTTAGTACTGGTAAATAAAATATTAAAATATCAGCACTTTTTATACCCTAAAATAACCAAAATAATTATGTAGACAGAAATTTAAGGCGTTATTTTATTTGAACAGAGATCTAAAAAATTGTAAAAATTAAGTAAAATCACCAAAAAGGCTTATATTTTGCTGACACCTATTTGCTGTTTTTTTTGATTAACTTTTAAAGTAATTGTAGGACATAAAGTTATTGTTAAATAATGTTTTCTTGACTTTGTGTATAAGAAAAAATAGTTTTCCCCCCAATTCAATATGGTTACTTTTGATTTCGCAATATAGTCACGTGATTCCGACTGGATGGATCTTCTTCGCTTATATGACAATCATTTTTAACAAATACTACTCTGTGACAACTTTAATCTCTTTACACTTAACAAAATTCCTAAAATGCTTTAAACGAAACTCTATTAAATTTGACAAGAATAAATTTTACACTTTGCTGATTGTTTTTGTGCATCAATCTTTGCCTTTCTTTTTTTAATTTAATATTTTCCATAACGCTATTACATGTTTTATAAAAAAGGCTACTGGTAAACCCATTCTGTAATTTACATGTTTTTCAAAATGTCACAATACGATAAATCTCGAATACAACACGCGTGAATGAAAGGTAAGAACAGAAAAATGCATTATTGTAAGCAAAATATGGTGTTTCATATTGTAAACATTTATGTTTTTGTTTGACTACATGTTTCAAAATTATGCAACGAAATGAAAGAAACAGATAGACCTGCATACGTCTTATTATGCGTCTTCAGGTTTGATAATATTTTTATTTGCATTCGATAGTTCAATAACCGTATTTTTGCTTTGGTAAATTATTTTTTAGCGTCATTTTTTACAATAACTAATAACTTTTTTAGCGTCATTTTTTACAATAACTAATATCTTTTTAGCGTCATTTTTTACAATAACTAATAACTTTTTTAGCGTCACTTTTTACAATAACTAATAACTTTTTTAGCGTCACTTTTTACAATAACTAATAACTTTTCCTATATTTTACCATTAGATTGAAACCGTTTCTATTAGCGGCGTTCATGGTCTTTTCTAATTGTAACTAAACGGTATTCTTATCAAGCTTTCCACCATAGGAAGAAGTTATATAAAATTTAAGTGATATCTTTAATACTATGTGCAATAATATTATAAGCATTAAAACATCATATACAGAATCATACTGTTAATCATGTGACAATGGCAATTTGATGATGACGTACCATTAGAAACCACTTTTTGTAAAATTAAAAAATATTGAATACTTGACGTATCAATGACACCATTTTGTTAGGTTCATAATAATGTATATATATAGGGGGCCGTCCCGACGAGATCCTAATGAAAGAGTGGGGGGTGGGGGTAGTTACTTATCTGTTTTTAGCCGAGTAAATTTTAAAAAAACTTTGTTGCCGACTAAAATCTAATATTTTACATTATTATTAAAATAGTTTATATTTTTGTTAGTTTTTTTTACGTTGTTTTAAAATTCCATAATAATCAAATTACAATTTATGATAAAAATCAAATAAGAAAATGTTCGAAGCTTTTGTGTTAACTTACGTTAACGGTTAAGTTCAGACGACAATATATATATATATATATATATATATATATATATATATATATATATATATATATATATATATATATATATATATATATATATATATATATATATATATATATATATATATATATATATATATGTATATATATATATATATATATATATATATATATATATATATATATATATACATATATATATATACATATATATATATATATATATATATATATATATATATATATATATATATATATATATATATATATATATATATATAATATATATATATATATATATATATATATATATATTACTTATCACTTATTACTTATTTAAAAGACTGTCTTTGAAAAACTAATACATCACTTTGATTTTCTAGGGCATTTAATCAGACAAGAAATAAATGCGGATACAACAACAACTGATCAAACAGTTTCAGAAACAACAACTGATGCAACATCATCGACAACAACTGTATCTGACCCATCAGCAACAACTACCACATCAGCAATAACAACCACAATTCTAATTACAGCAACAACTGAACCTGAAACAACAACTACTTCATCAACAACCACGCAATTATTATCTACAGATGCTTCAACGTCAACAACTGCGGCTCCAATTACAACAACGAGTGAATCTGCAACAACTACGCTACGAACAACTACTGTTGCTTCAACAACAACAACCGCGGCTTCAATTACAACAACAACTTCACCTGAAACAACCACGCCACTATCAACAACAGGTGATTCAGCACCAACAACTGCGGCTCCAATAACAACAACAAGTGAACCTGCAACAACAACTACTTCTTCAACAACCACGCAATTATCACCTACAGATGCTTCAACGTCAACAACTGCGGCTCCAATTACAACAACGAGTGAATCTATAACAACTACGCCACTATCAACTATTGTTGCTTCAACAACAACCGCGGCTTCAACTACAACAACAACTCCACCTGAAACAACCACGCCACTATTAACTACAGGTGACTCAACACTAACAACTGCGGCTCCAATAATAACAACAACTGAACCTGCAACAACAACTACTTCTTCAACAACCACGCAATTATCATCTACAGATGTTTCAACGTCAACAACTGCGGCTCCAATTACAACAACAAATGAATCTCCAACAACTACGCCACAATCAACTACTGCTGCTTCAACAGCAACAACAACTTCACCTGAAACAACCACGCCACTATCAACTACAGGTGATTCAGCACCAACAACTGCGGCTCCAATAACAACAGCAAGTGAGCCTTCAACAACAACAAATTTTCCAACAACCACACAATTGACACCTACAGATGCTTCAACATCAACAACTGCGGCTCCAATTACAACGACAAGTGAATATCCAACAACTACGCTACTATCAACTACTGTTGCTTCAACAACAACAACCGCGGCTTCAATTACAACAACAACTTCACCTGAAACAACCACGCCACTATCAACCACAGGTGACTCAGCACCAACAACTGCGGCTCCAATAACAACAGCAAGTGAGCCTGCAACAACAACTACTTCTTCAACAACCACGCAATTATCACCTACAGATGCTTCAACGTCAACAACTGCGGCTCCAATTACAACAACAAGTGAATCTGCAACAACTACGCCACTATCAACTACTGCTGCTTTAACAACAACGACCGCGGCTCCAACTGGAACAACATCTTCACCTGGAACAACCACGCCATTATTAGATACTGGTGCTTCAACATCAACAACAGCAACTCCAATTACAACAACAAATGAATCTGCAACATCAACTACTTCTTCTACAAGCTCGCCACTAACATCTACAGCTACTTCAACAACAACAACCACGGCTCCAACTTCAACAGCAGTTCCACCTGCAACAACCATACTACCGTCAACAACAACAAGTGAACCTGCAACAACAACTACTTCTCCAACAACCACACCGCTATCAACAACAGGTGGTTCAACACCAACAACTGCAACTCCAATTACAACAACAAGTGAATCTGCAACAACTACACCACTATCAACTACTGCTGCTTCAACAACAACGACCGCGGCTCCAACTGGAACATCATCTTCACTTGCAACAACCACGCCAATATTAGATACAGGTGCTTCAACATCAACAACAGCAACTCCAATTACAACAACAAATGAATCTGCAACATCAACTACTTCTTCTACAAGCTCGCCACTAACATCTACAGCTGCTTCAACAACAACAACCACGGCTCCAACTTCAACAGCAGTTCCACCTGCAACAACCATACTACCGTCAACAACAACAAGTGAACCTGCAACAACAACTACTTCTCCAACAACCACACCGCTATCAACAACAGGTGGTTCAACACCAACAACTGCAACTCCAATTACAACAACAAGTGAACCTGCAACAACTACACCACTATCAACTACTGCTGCTTCAACAACAACGACCGCGGCTCCAACTGGAACATCATCTTCACCTGCAACAACCTCGCCAATATTAGATACAGGTGCTTCAACATCAACAACAGCAACTCCAATTACAACAACAAATGAATCTGCAACATCAACTACTTCTTCTACAAGCTCGCCAATAACATCTACAGCTGCATCAACAACAACAACAACGGCTCCAACTACAACAGCAGTTCCACCTGCAACAACCATACTACCGTCAACAACAACAAGTGAACCTGCAACAACAACTACTTCTCCAACAACCACACCGCTATCAACAACAGGTGGTTCAACACCAACAACTGCAACTCCAATTACAACAACAAGTGAATCTGCAACAACTACACCACTATCAACTACTGCTGCTTCAACAACAACGACCGCGGCTCCAACTGGAACATCATCTTCACTTGCAACAACCACGCCAATATTAGATACAGGTGCTTCAACATCAACAACAGCAACTCCAATTACAACAACAAATGAATCTGCAACATCAACTACTTCTTCTACAAGCTCGCCAATAACATCTACAGCTGCATCAACAACAACAACAACGGCTCCAACTTCAACAGCAGTTCCACCTGCAACAACCATACTACCGTTAACAACAACAAGTGAACCTGCAACAACAACTACTTCTCCAACAGCCACACCGCTATCAACAACAGGTGGTTCAACGCCAACAACTGCAACTCCAATTACAACAACAAGTGAATCTGCAACAACTACACCACTATCAACTACTGCTGCTTCAATAACAACGACCGCGGCTCCAACTGGAACAACATCTTCACCTGCAACAACCACGCCACTATTAGATACAGGTGCTTCAACATCAACAACAGTAGCTCCAATTACAATAACAAGTGAATCTACAACATCAACTACTTCTCCTACAAGCTCGCCCCAAACATCTACAGCTGCATCAACAACAACAACCGCGGCTCCAACTACAACAGTAGTTCCACCTGCAACAACTATACTACCATTAACTACAGCTGCTCCAATAACAACAACTGCACCTGCAACAACAACTATTCCTTCAACAATCACGCCAGTAACAACCACAGCTGATGCAGCTTCAACAGCTGCAGCTCCAATTACAACAACTGCACCTGCAACAACAACCACCCAAATAACAAGTTCTACACTAACTACAACCACATCAAAGGCAACGAATACAACTACTCCAACCATAACCATTTCTTCAACTACTAAAGGTTTTTTATAAATACTTTTTATTAAATTTTAATTATGGTACTAAAGATTTAAACATATGAAAAAAAAAACTAGCATAAACACTAAAACTTCCAGGCATAGTAACCAAGGTTACTAACCATAACGTTACGATTGCTGACTATTGTTATGTTTTTTTAGCATTTAATGGTACATTAGCACTCTTTTAATTTTAAATATAGGGTTTTTTATTTATTTTATATCATATTCTAATAATACTATGGTTTGATATGTTTTTAATTATGTATTTTATGGTTTAAAAATATATAGCTAATTGAATAAGATATAGCTAGTAAAAGCCTAAAAATCAATTTAGCAAATAGTTTTTAATTAAAAAACCAAAATCTTTTACAATAACTAAACAAGGTAATAAGATAACACGTAAATCCATTAACATAAAACGGGCCTTGAGTACGTAAAGTAGATTTTGTTGAAAAACACTGCAATCCCCCAAAATGTTCTAAATTATATCTTCCTAAAGATTTTAGGTTACTGTTGAAGGAAAAAAAGTGTTCAATGTAAAATAGTCTAAAAACATGCAAGACTTAAAAAAATTGATTAAAGCTTCAAGAAAGTCTAGACAAATATTGTGCAAAACCTGATGTTGAGTGAAAAACGCAAAGTGCGTGTCGTTCTTGCGTACACAGATTCACAAACTTACTTAAGTGAAGGTTTACAATAATATTATATGCACATTACTATACATTGCATATATATATATATATATATATATATATATATATATATATATATATATATATATATATATATATATATATATATATATATATATATATATATATATATATATATATATATATATATATCCACGTTGACACCTGTTTTTTAGTCGCATCTGTTTGTTAAATTAACTTTGTGATGGAAAAATTTCATTGGCAAGTTACAAACAATCATTGATTCTTTTTTTTTTTGCACATTTTTGTTAAAATATATAATATAGGTGATCATCTTCCTAAAAGCAGTAACTCTGGCTCTTTATATGTCGTTTACTATACGTCGCATATTTTTTATATTAGTTTTATAAAAAAAAAACACTGTCAAATAAAAAAATATTAACTTGCAAAGAACTAAACACTCTCTCTAATTAAAACTGTAATTTCAAGATGAAACATAATAATTACAAATAATATCTGTGAAGAAGCACTAACACAATTGCGTTCAAAATTATGACCTTATATACCAATATATATATATATATACATATATATATATATATATATATACATATTTATATCTATATATCTATATATATATATATATATATATATATATATATATATATATATATATATATATATATATATATATATATATATATATATATATATATATATATATATATATATATTATGTATATATATGTAAATATAATATATATATATATATATATATATATATAAATATGTATATATATATATATATATATATATATATATATATATTTATATATATATTTATATATATATATATATATATATATATATATATATATATATATATATATATATATATATATATATATATATATATATATATATATATATATATATATATATATATATATATATATATATGGATATCTCTTCCCCCCCCCCCCCTCTTTTGGTAAATAAAGCACATCCTATTACATCTTTGTCGTTTCCTAATGTCGCATCTTCATTCAGTTTATTATCTATCATGCATCTTAATAAATAATTCTAAATGCAATATTTATATACTTTCTCGTGTATCTCGTTTTGCATACTGTTAGAAAGTTTTAGCAAAATTGACTTGTGTTCATGTTGATTGCGAGTTTGATAAAATAGACTAGTATGAAGAAGCAGTTTGTATACTTTACGGAAAACCAATAAAAAATGAACAAATATGAAATAATAATAAGTATAAAACATTTTTACAGTGTATTTTACAATAAGTATTTATTCTCTATGCTATGACATAAAGGTACTAAATTTTGCATCACTTTTACCGTACATTGTGCGCATATATTTTACCGTTGTGTTGGAATTGGTGTTGACTCTGTGGACCAAAATGTTTTCAAAAATTATAATGCTTTTGGATGCTTATTGAATTTTTTTAACAGATTAACAAAATCTGCAGGATTGAAGTAGTGACTACCAAACCATATATCACCCATGAACCACAGAAAAAGTCGCATACTGTCTGAGCGGATTTCAATTTTTGATAGCCTGGTATTAGAATGTAAGTAGGTAGAATAAAGTTGCGAGTTCCATCTTGATTGCTTATAGCAGGAAGTGATTTAAAACTCACTTATGGAAAGGTGCCTGTGTTTTTATAATTTCTATAACAAGCTATTAAGTGATGCAGGAAGTCCATTTCATTTCGCCAGCATGTCCAATTCCCTTTCGTCAAAGATTTTTCCAGTATTTGTAGATGTTTTGTCAGATACAATCATTTTTATGGCTGGCCACAACTCTTGTTCATCCAGCACAAGTTTTATCCCATTATAGATTATTTCTTTTTTATTTATCAGCTTGAGTACAACAAGTCTAACCACTTTCCTGACATTTTTCAAAACAACTACTCAATGTTCCATTTTCTTTTTGTGCTTTCAATCAAAGAGCAAAGACCGCTTTTCATTTTAGTTCTTCATACAATTTGCATTCAACTTTTCTTCTTCTTTCATGATACCTTTGTTGACACCACTTTGAGTTGGAGTAGGTAAAAGGATTTCACCTTTTGATGGAGATTTGCAGAATTGGTACTAATCTTCGCAGAAGTTACTTGGTTGACATTTTTGACATTTGCAGACAATAAATTTTTTTATCTTCCTGACACAACCATTAACCTTTCTCATCAGTTATCTTAAACAACTGGGTAAAATTTTGAGCTCCGGGTTTTCGACTATCTTTGTCAAATTTTTTCAATACGTTTTCTTTTTTTTTTCTGCTGCCAATTTCCTTTGTAGAAATAGTATATTCAGCTTTCTTCATAGCTGTTTAGTTTCTTTAACCACAATTGCCACTCTCTCCTTTTTGTTTATCTATTACGTTATTTATAACTCATGAAGATAACAATAAAAAGATAGGAAAATCATTTTCAGCTCAGGGGTGATCTTTTTCATCAATTAACATAAAAATTTTAATTTTTCTGTTTATAAAATTTTTAGTCATACTCCTAATGTTTATATATATTTGTTCTATGGAGTTTCAAACAAAGAATTACGTTAAAGCGGCAATGTTTTCTTTAATGCCAAACATTTTGCTAATTGATTTAAATATTATTTTAAATCATGTTCATATTAAACGGAATTACTTTTTTACTGCTTTTCAAAAAGCCACAATCTTTAAAAAGTTAAAAAGTATTGTCAAATTACAGCAAAGTCACTAAATAAATTTTGTCGCAAAATACTTTATAGGACTATAAATCTCATAATGGGGGTAAAAATTTAATATGAGATTTTACTGGGGAGTAAAAAGTAGGGAAGACGGGGGCGCATTGATAACAGGGTCAGTATGATCTTTTACCTTTTACTCGTTTACTTTTGCCTTATTTTGACAGAGATTGCAATTAAATTAACCATTATAATACCCTTTATTGTTTAACCGTAATATTTTTGATGAGATTAACTTCTGCGTTAAGAAAATAAAAAATAGAGTTTTTCATCATGAAAAGTGATTTTTTGAAAGTAGTAAACAGTTTTAAATCAATTTTTAATTAGATTTTCGTATGACTTTACAACCATTTTATTGTAAACTCATATGTTTTAAGTTTATAATAAATTTGTTTTTTTGAGTTGGTTACAATATTTACAGAAGTTATTGCCATCAATATATCAACTGCACATATCGGGGCGCATTGATCATTGACTATGCGGGGTTCATTGATCAAATAATCAAAGTGCCCAATATAACTTATATTATAAGACTTGTTTTTTGTTTAAATTTTATTCATTTAAACGAATGGCATGTACTTATGACGAATAAAAGAATTTTATATAAATTTTTAAAATTTATATAAATATATTAATAATATTAGTTTTAAGTTTTACATAAATTTTACAACTAATTTACATAATATTATTAAGTAAAAAAAACTTTATTTCAAACAATTATTTTATTTAAAATTTTTTTTTTTTAATTTTCAGATCTTTAAATGGTTAGGTATAGAAAAAAAAAACAAACAGAGTACTTATAACGAATAAAAAAATACTTTCGTCATAAGTACTGGCATGTACTTATGACGAATAAAAAAATCTTTTATTCGTCATAAGTACATGCCAGAGTTGCTCTATCATGTGATAGAATGAAAGCAGCTGTTAATGAAGTTTTAGAGGGCAGACCAGTGAACTTTATAGCTCGCAAATTTAGCATAAATTTAATGACTTGAATGAAAAGATATTGTTATAAAAAGAAGCTCAATCAAAATGAAACTTTTAAGCCTAATTACAACAGTAAACAAGTTTTTACTGCAGAAGATGAAAAAAGTTTGTCAAGTTATTTACTACTTGCATCAAAAATGAACTATGGACTTTTAAGTCAACATAACTATTGGCATATAAATTTTCTGTAAAAAATAATAAGATCTGCCCATCATCATGAATCAAAAATAAAATTTTTGATCCATGATGATGGGCAGATCTTATTATTTTTTACAGCATCAGGGATTGATTGGTTGCAAGGTTTTATGAAAAGACAACCTGAGTTGGTTTTACAAACACCTCAAGCAACTAGCTTTGCTCGATCAACTGCTTTTAGCCGACACACTGGAGTAGAACTTTTTTCAAAATCTAAAGTCATTCGATTTATGCTTTTAAATGCTATTATTCGATTTATGCTAAACAGTAAGAAATTGATATAAATTTGACCCTTATTGCATATATAACGTTGATGAAACTGGTTTAAAAACGGTACAAAAGCCATTAAAAGTGTTAGCAGGTAAAGGAAGTAAACTTTAAAGTAGTAGGAAGAATAACACCTGCATAACGAGAGGCATTAGTAACTGT